TATATATTCTTGATCAGCATTACTACCCGAGTTAGTCTAATCCTGCCCGCTGTGATCTCGGAAACAATAAGAGCTAGACGGTTGAGATTCCTTATCTTCGTAAGCAGCGCAAGTTTGTTACGCGAACATGCTTCGCCCGCTCTGCCGCCAACAAACAGTTTTCTTGATAGAAATAAAAACTCTCAAAGACAGAGAGTTGGGATTTTAAATTAAGATTCCTTAGCTTTGTACGCGACAATAGAATGCCACGCTCGCCTGACGCCCACAGACCGCCCATAACTGTGGATCATACAGTTTTGATGTTAGATAAAAATATTAACTAAAATATATTGATCTCGTCAATAACTATAGACTATCGACTAAAGCGTTCTTCCTTGTTTTATTTTCTAAAGCCAATAGCAAAAAAAAAGGAAAGAAAGTTAACTTCGGCACGCCGAAGTTTGTATACCCTTTATTGTTATTAAATTTAATACAAAATTCTGAAAAATACAAGAAATGATATTCCCAATAGTAAAAGATATGTCAATAAGAACCGAAGCTATTATTTGTTCCACAATATTTTTCTAAAAATTTTCCGGTTGTTAATATGGCAGCTATATGATATAGTAAAATTAAAATTTGAAATTCAGAACTAATTAAAAAATGTTATTTCCAAGCGTAGGAGGTTATATGTTAAAAAACACCGAAGCTATAATTTGTTTCATATTATTTTCCCACCAATTTTACGATCGTTTCTATGGCAGCTATATCTTATAGTCGTCTGATTTCTGATCTGAAATTCAGAAATCATTTAAAAATGTTATTTCCAAGCGTAGGAGATTGTATGTAAAAAAACACCGAAGCTTTAATTTGTTTCATGTTATTTTCCCACCAATTTTCCGATCGTTCCTATGGCAGCTATATAATATAGTCGTCCGATCTTGAAAAAATTTAATTCGAAATTAAGAACTATTTAAAAACTATGATTTCCAAGCGTAGGAGTTTATATGTTAAAAACACCAAAGAAATATTTTTTTTTAATTTTTTTTACCGATAATTCCTATGGTAGCTATAAGATACTGTTGTCCGATCCGGCTGGTTCCGACTTATATACTAGCTGCAAAAGAAAAAAGACTTTTGGGAAAGCTTCAGCCCGATAGCTTTAAAACTAAGAGACTAGTTTGCGTAGAAACGGACGGATGCATGCGTGGTGCAATCTCGAATTAATTTGCAAAATATTGATTTTTATTTGGTTATAACTTTATAACGTCCGATTTCAATAATTTTTGGCATATATATAGATGGGTATTGATAATTGAGAACAATCTCTTATATACATTACAAAATATAAAAAAATGTGGGCGCTGGACGGGCTAATGTTATGGTCGATTGTGGGCAATAGAAAGGGCGTGGCACCCTGCCGAAACAAACATGCGCTGCGCAGGAGGCCCAAGATTATTCATTCCAAGTCCCAACACTCAAGCTTTTATGGTGTGAGAGATCTCAACGTTCATACGGACAGACGGACATGGCTAGATCGACTCGGCTTGTGATCCTGATCAAGAATATATAATTTGTATGGGGCCGGAAACGCTTCCTTTTAACTAATACATACTTTGCGACGAATCTAGTATACCCTTTTCTCTTTGAGTAACGGCGAACGAGGTCTGCGTGCTTATATGGTTTCTTAAATTTCGCCTTGTTGTAGTATTCTTCTTCCCTCTCCTTCTCCTTTTGATCCCATTCCTTTTCCGATCTGGGAAAAAGAATTCGGTCTTTACATGGTTTCTGCGAATTGAATGACGTATTGGAAAACAATTGATTTGTCGCTTATGTTCCTTTTTACGCTTGATGTATATGTAGGATTGGCAGCCCTATTAATAACAGATCAGTTGTTCTGTTCCGTAACATTTTTCGGTAGTGTTAAAAAGCGTGCAAATTGCGCAAGAGTGGAGTAGAGATTGAGCACCAGCAGAGGAAGGTCGAGTGTGTCTCAGTAATAATTAATGTGTCAACTTAAGTATGTGAACTGTATCAATGATGTGTATTAATCGAAGAATAAACTATTAATAACCAATAAATAAATTTACGGAAGCAACGGAAGCCTTTCTCTACATATATTATGTCAACAATTTTACCAAGAAAACATTATACCTTTTTATACCCGATACTCGTAGAGTAAAAGGGTATACTAGATTCGTCGGAAAGGCAGCAGGAAGCGTTTCCGACCCCATAAAGTATATATCGCATCGCTCAATTAGTTCGCGGCCGGACATATAAGGAGCAGTAGTAAGCAAATATAGATATTTTTTATCGAAAGTGTCGATTATCATAAGCTCTGTGTAAAAATTATACAACTCTGTGACCACGTGCTTTTAAGTTACAAATTTTTAAGTAATACAACCTTTGGGTTTTTCTACAATATGGAAAAAAAAGGAGTTTCGTGTCCTGATTAAGCACTGTTTTTTGATAGGAAAAAATACAGTAGAAGCAAAAGCTTGGCTTGATAAACATTACCCAGATTCTTCTCCGGGAAAATCAACCATCAAGGATTGGTACAATGAATTTAAACGTGGTCGTGTGAAAACCAAAGACGCTGAACGCAGTGGTCGCCCAAAAACAGCAGTTACGCCAGAAAATGTGGCAAAAATCCGAAAAATGGTATTGGCCGATCGCAAATTGAAATTAAAGGAGATAGCTGATGCCTCAAAGATATCGGAAGGCAGTGTGTTTACGATATTACATGAACATTTGGACATGAGAAAGCTCTGCTCGAAGTGGGTGCCGCGATTGCTAACACCGGACCAAAAGCAACAACGCATCGATGCTTCCGAGACGTGTTTAAGCATGTTGAAGCGCAATAGGACCGATTTTTTTCGCCGTTACGTAACCATGGATGAAACCTGGATACACCACTATACTCCAGAATCCAGTCGTCAGTCTTCTGAGTGGGTGGTAGCCGGTGAAAGCCCTCCGAAGCGTCCCAAAACACAAATACCGGCGGGTAAGGTTATGGCTTCTGTATTTTGGGATGCACATGGGATTTTATTTATAGACTGCCTGGAAAAAGGTAAAACAATAAACAGCGAATATTATATAAAACTGCTGGATCGATTGGATCGCGTTATCAAGGAAAAACGTCCACATATGGCCAAGAAGAAACCACTGTTTCACCAGGATAATGCACCATGCCACAAGTCTATGGCAACAATGGTGAAATTGAGTGAATTGAGGTTCGAACTTCTGCCGCACCCACCTTATTCTCCAGATATGGCCTCCAGTGACTACTGGTTTTTTTCAGATCTCAAAAAGCACCTCCAAGGCAAGAGATATTTATCAAATGAAGAGGTGATTGTCGATACTGAGACCTATTTTGAGGGTAAAAGTTCATCTTTCTACAAAAATGGCATAGAAAGGTTGGAGAAGCGCTGGACTGAGTGTATAGCCGTAGATGGAAACTATATTGATGAATAAAACAAAATTTTCAAAAAAAAAAGTGTTTTTCCTTGTTAGGCCGGGAACTTATTGAGCGGTGTGATATATTCTTGATCAGGATCACTAGCCGATTCGATCTAGCCATGTCCGTCTGTCCGTCTGTCCGTCTGTCTGTCCGGATGAACGCTGAGATCTCGGAAACTATGAGAGCTAGGCTATTGAGATTTGGCGTACAGATTCCTGAGCTTCTTACGCAGCGCAAGTTTGTTTCAGTAGACTGCCACGCCCGCTCTAACGTCCACAAACCGCCCAAAACTGTAACTCCTACAGTTTTGATGCTAGATAGAAAATTTTAACTGAAATGTATTTGTGTCGTCAATACCTATCGATTGATCCAAAAATAAATTTGCCACGCCCACTCTAACGCCCATAACGCTTAGATCTGTCTACCGCCGGTAGGTGGCGCATTTTAATCTCGCTTAGCTGCTTGCATATCTCCATTTCCCTTTAAGTAACGGGTATCTGATAGTCGAGGTACTCGACTATAGCGTTCTTCCTTGTTTTGTGTAAGAACGCTTAATTCTTGTTTTTATTAGCATACAATAAGTTATATTTGTGTGTTTTGTGTAACTTGATTCACTTTCACCCTTGGTAAATTCAACACGTAGTGCACTAATAAACAAGGAAGAATGATAAAGTCGAGTGCCTCGACTACCAGATACCCGTCACTCAGCTAAATGAAGAAAAAGGGAGATGGATATAGGAAAGCAGCAAAGCCAGATTATAAAACGCCACCTTTCACCGATTTCAATAGATGGTTAAGTGCGGGGCAGAGAGATTAAAGCGTTATGGGCGTTAGAGTGGGCGTGGACAAGTTTTTCAGTCAACATTTTTTTTTAGTCTTGTGATTCTGATCGAGAAAATAAAACAAATACTTCCTTTTACTCTACGAGTAAAACGACGCCCCTGTCAAAATTAAGGACGTCTAATGGCGATATTATTTTAAAATTTAAAAACGGTTATTTTACTATCTCGGCTTGAACTAATTTTGTGGGTGATTTTTTCAATAAATGGCCCAATCCTTATACAGACAGACTTTGTACAGAAAGTTAAACTCACTAGAGCAACCTAAACGGTCACTTAACTCTACGTTAAAGACTAATCAAAGTGTATGCTTCAAGTCAAGTCGGGTGAACCAGAAATAAAATGTTATAAATTGACACAAACTGCGACAACTTTTTTAAAAAGCCAAAAAAGGCGCCGTTCACTACTCTGTTGGCCATGGAAGCCAAAACATCCGTGAACCGTTTAAACAAAAAAAAGGAACAGTGATAAGAAGGACAATGGACTGAAATACATCTTAAAAGGAATGAAATGAAATTTAAAAATGTAAATAAGTTGTTGTTGTGTGACACTTAAAACTATTATAGCAAGCGATTTTTGTGGCACACCTTATAATCTATTTTTTAATAATTTTCTAAAGAAGTTGAACATAGACTTCGTTAGCCGGTATAAACGTAGATAAATGCATTATATTAAATAAAATAAAAAGTTTGAACGGATAATATTTTGTTTAACTTGCGTACACTTCAACAATAACTGGAAAAGCAGCATCTCGTAACTCTTCTCGCCAGCTGGGTGGAAGCAGTAACTGAACTTGAGCTCGTCCTCCATGCGTTAATGGTATTTCAAAAGATCGCTGAGTCGGTAGTGCAAGCTTTTGTAGCCTTTCTGTATAAAATGGCCTTGTGTCATATAAAATCTGTACCAAACTGTGATTTTTGTGCATATGAACTCCTGATACAGGTAGCCCAGGGCCTTGGCATTCCAAAATGTAGAACTCAATTCCATAGATTGTTGCAACCCCGAAAGTGGGTGTTATAAAGGCTTCAAAATGTGAACAGTTTGTATAATAGTAGCGACTACTCCAAAGATCTTCGCCTAATTCACATGTAATACATTGTGGTTCAATTCTGTTGATGAAAATACATTTCAAAATAATAAATTAATACATTGTTTGTTTCCTTACTTTCTAATATCATCGTGAATTGGATCCTTAACAGAGTATAAATGCTGTTGACCGGGCTTCTTATCTTGAGTAGCCAAAAAGTAAACTTTGTGATTTACGGTATCCCAACATAATATTTTCATCACCTGAAAATGGGGTAATATTATAATATTATTATTTTATCGCGCAGTTTTTTATTAGCTTTTTAAAAACTATTTCAAGATTCGAAAACATAGAAAAGTGAAAGGCTATATAATATAAGCACTAGGGCTGTCAAAAAATTATATGGCCAGAATCTTTGTATTAAGCATGCAGATTCTTGGGATTCTTGCGCAGTGAAAGTTTGATTCACAAACGCCCATTACTCTGAAACCTATCCAGCACCCACAGTTTTGTTGATTTTATTTTGTTCTTATTATCAATACCCACCCACATACCAAACGTTATTTAAATCGGACCATTCACTAAATAGTTATAATAATGTTAATTGTTATAATCGAGAGCGAAAGGAATAAATGGCTGCATATTCATCCGTCTGTCCGTTTCTACACAAACTAGTAGTTCTGAGCCACCACCCCCTTACTAATTAGCATATTTATGGCCTCCGCCACCTTAACTAATGTATTCCAGCACAACAAGCATAATCTACAAATAAACTGATTTTAATGGGCTTAGATGTCATAAAAATGTCACGATCATGTCTATGAAGAGTATATGGGAAAATACGATCGGCATAATAAATCAAGAACAGGTGCTAGTAATTAAGCATTCAAGGCATACGAGTATTCTTCAAAAGGGGATGATAAGACAGCGCCCTCTTGGCGACTGATGATTTTTCTTGTTAAGACAGCTGAGAAGGCACCGTCTTTTTAATGAATTTATTTAACTCTTTAATTACAACGTTTATCTTGTTCCCTGATTCATGTTCATAATAGAGCTGGTTGAACTTGGTAATATAAGTTTCTAACTAATTGATTTCGAGTTTTCACTAGCTGTTTTAAGGCTATTATAGTTTGATTGCTTTTAAAACCAGTTCCGTTAATTTGAAATAACATGTGTTTTCCAAAAAACAAAAAACAACATAGTGATCTCATCCACATAGACAAATGTACAGTAGTTTTCCTTGCATTGGCCAACACTCAGATTATTGACTGTGAAGGGTACTGGTATGGGAACAAGGGACAGAAAGATCAGAAATTAGTAGGTGAAAAAGTCCTAGAAGAATGATGACAGTTCCTGGAAGAGTTGAACCTCTAGATCGCAAAAAAGAAGACAACACAATTTTAAATGAATTAGATGTTTTTAAAGATTTCCCTTAACGTTTTTTTTTACAGGTATGTTACTGATAGAGGAAAGCGTCTCCGACCACGTAAAGTATATATATTCTTGATCAGCATCACTAGCCGAGTCGATCTAGCCATGTCCGTCTGTCCGTGTGAACGTTGTGATCTCGGAAACTATAAGAGCTAGGGGGTTAAGGTTTTGGACTCAGACTCTTTATTTTAATATACCCGTTACTCGTAGAGTAAAAAGGGTATACTAGATTCGTCGGAAAGTATGTAACAGGCAGAAGGAAGTGTTTCCGACCCCATAAAGTATATATTATCTTGATCAGGATCACAAGCCGAGTCGATCTAGCCATGTCCGTCTGTCCGTCTGACCGTCTGTCCGTCTGTCCGTATGAACGCTGAGATCTCGGAAACTATAATAGCTACAATACCGGGGTTAGGTATGCAGATTCCTGAGATTCCTAACACCCACAAACCGCACAAAACTGTGGCTCCTACAGTTTTCATGCTAGCATAAAAATTTTAACTGAAATGTATTGTTCTCATCAATACCTATCGATTGACCCAAAAAAAATTGGCCACGCCCACTCTAGCGCCCATAACGTTTTAATCTGTCTACCGCCGGTAGGTGGCGCATTTCAATCTCGCTTTGTTGCTTGCATATCTCCATTTCACTTTGGTCCCTGTATCTGAGTAACGGGTATCTGATAGTCGAGGTACTCGACTATAGAGTTCTTCCTTGTTTAATTTATTTTCTGAATAGATCGGTTCACCTCCTTTTCCTCAATAATGATACAGAGCATGAATGCTGTGAAGTATGCTTATATTTACTACGATCGGATAAAGCTAGGGCATAATAGATATTTGATGGCTGGGCGCCATATAATGATACAGATAGAGATCGCTGTGAAATATGCTTATATTTACTGCGATCGGATAGAGCTAGGGCATACAAGATAGTTGATGGCTAAGCGCCTCTGCCTCGGAAGGACCGAGCTTCGTACTGCTTGCTTCGTCGTGTTGGCGCTGCGAAAGGGCTGAGTTGAGTACTGCCAAGCTGAAGGGCTGAGTCGGGGACTGCTTGCTTCGTCGTGTCGGCGCTGCGGAAGGTCCGAGTTGTGTACTGCTTGCTTTGTTGTGTTGACGCTGCGGAAGGGCCGAGTTGTGGACTTGTTGCTTCGTTGTGTCGGCGCTGCGGAAGGTCCGAGTGTTGGACTGCTTGCTTCGTCGTGTCTCGTCGTTCGAGTGTTCTGGGTCGTTGGAAGAAACAATCTACTTGGATTTCGTGTCGGGGCTGCGGAAGGGCCAAATTGTGGACTTGTTGCTTCGTTGTGTCGGCGCTGCGGAAGTTCCGAGTTGTGGACTGCTTGCTTCGTCGTGGCTCGTCGTTCGAGTAGGTCGCAGTGTTCTGGGTCGTTGGAAGAAACAATCTACTTGGATTTCGAGTGGAATTTGGGAGTGTAGAGCATCGTTCGTTTTGATCTGTCGGGCATCGTTAGTTTCGAACTGCCGTCTATTCCGTGTCGTTTCCAGGTCGGGAGCCGGAAACCTGACTTCTGGGGGAACTTACTGAATTACGAAAATCTGGTTTCCTAGAAAGGCAGGGCCTCTGCTTATATAGGCGCCGTTTAGTGTGACCATAGCGATCGTGACTTTCTCGCTTCGATAACTTGTTATCGGGTCACGGTTCTGGTGATGACTATCGATATCTCCGCTAAACTAAAGTGACCAGTTTGCTTTGTGCGGGAGTTTTGCGGGAGTAGGACTTTCAAATAAAAGACCATTGTTTTGGAATGTTCTATGTTTGGTTTTTTTTCTGTTTTATGTTGTTTTGACGGTGGGCCGTTACACTTCCCCGCGCTTAGGAGGCTGGTGTCTTGGTTGTCGTGCTGGGGCCACCGTACTCCTGCTGGGTCTGCCACGTCCACAGCCGCGAGTACAATGACCCGACGCCGTTGCTGGTTCAGGCGCTGAAGGTTCTTCCGGTACTTCACTAGCGAAATCATGAGTTTGTTGTCCATGCTGTGAAACAAATTTTAACTGAAATGTATTAGTCCAGACAATACCTATCGATTGACCCAAAAACAAAGTTTTCCACGCCCACTTTAACGCCCACATAACCATACATTGAGATCGCGGGTATGTGGGGCATTTCATTCTCGCTTTGCTGCTTGCATATCTCCATTTCCATTTGGTCCCTTTAGCTGATTAACGCGTTTTTTATTTTTCGAGGTACTTGTCTATAGCGTTCTTCATTGTTCGGTATATTAACTTTGGATTACCGAATAATAATAATAACTATTTTTACATAAGTGCAGACATATTTTTATATATTTTTAGTTTATTCAAAGTTCAGCCCAACAATATATGTTGAGCCCATCGTTGAACACCAAGTCGATTTATTTCTTACCGATTCGTATATTCCGTATTCGCAAAAGGAAGATGAAGATGTGACAGCGAGATTGTACTGTGCCACCAATATACGGTTATATGGGTGGCAGACAGATTTTAAGCGATATGGGCTTTTTTGGGCGTTGGAGTGAGCGTAGCAATCTTTCTATTTGGTCAATCAATTATTATCGATATCGATATTTACGAGACAAATACCCTTCAGCTAAAATTCTGCCACGAGAACTGTGAGTGCCACTGTTTTGGGCGGCTTGTGGGTGTTAGAGTGGGCGTTGCGAACTTTTGTTGAGTCAATCGACAGGTATTGACGGGACTAATACATTTCAGTTAAAATTTGTTTCTAGCATGAAAATTGTGGGCTTCAAACTTTTGGGGGGCTTGTAGGCGTTAGAGTGGGCGTACAAAGCTAAGGAGTAAATCGTGAATTCCCAGTTCTCTATCTTTGTAGTTTCCAAGATATCAGCAAATAATGTATGCCATCTCTGAAACAGCTGATTTGCTGCATGCATGTCTCCATCTCCTTTGCACTCTTTTCAGCTGAGTAACAGGTAGTAGTTGAACAGTCGAGGCTGTCGACTATAGCGTTCTTTCTTGATTTAAGCTTTTAAACACATTTTCTTCTCTTTCGAACACCAGCAATGCTTTGCTAATTGTTGCTGACTACATCGCGGCAGGGATTGCTAGTATATATTGTATATTCAAAATAACAGATTTGTATTTTAGAAAAATCTATAAGACAAAATTTGGCGACCTCACACGATGTTCGGCAAGTGCGGCCTCTAAATCTTTATAGGCAAATATAGTATGTTTTACTTTGCTTAATTTAGCAAGAGTGACTGTAACAGTAATCTGGTTTATCTGTCTTTCAGTTTCAGACTTAGTCACTTTTTGGCTATTATTTAAATCAATAACTTTATATTCGAACTTTTTCAAAATATGGAGCATCTGGTGTCCCAGCAACTACCTTAAGTAGTGTACCAAGGATGTCAAAGCTCTGGCCTTATATGATGGACGCTTAACTGATAGTAGGTGAACCTCTAGTAGCTGCCGCATGTGCGACTTAGGGAATGCTTCGGATAATTTATGTGTTTTGCCTACTATGATTAATCTTCTGTTCTTTCTGTCCCTTGTTTTCGTACTAAAACCTTTATCTCAAGTACTATGTTGTAGTTAGAATTGGAACAATCAAAAATCTGTGTTTTAGCCACTGCAAGGAATAATAGATGAGTTTGCACATTCCTGTTTAAGATAAAATGAAGAAACATAAAACGTCTTGTAGTTCGTTAGTTATCTTGCCTTTTATTGCTATAACTGTTAACGTTAAGTAAAACGGTATATTGAATTCGTGGATTGCCCCAAAAAAAAATTTTTCACGCCCACTTTGTCGGCCACAAACTGCCCACAAACTTAAAAAATTCGTAAGTATGAACGCGGATATCTCGTCAACTATGAAGTATAGAGAATTGGGATTTCATATTAAGATTCCGTAACCTTGTAAGCAGCGCAAGCTTGTTTCGCGAATATGCCACGCCCACTCGAACGCCCACAAACCGCCTAAGCCTGTGGCGCCTACAGTTTTCAAGCTAGAAAAAAAATGTTAGCTGAAATGTATTGTTCTCATCAATACCTATCGATTGACCCAAAAAAAATTGGCCACGCCCACTCTAGCGCCCATAACGTTTTAATCTGTCTACCGCCGGTAGGTGGCGCATTTCAATCTCGCTTTGTTGCTTGCATATCTCCATTTCACTTTGGTCCCTGTATCTGAGTAACGGGTATCTGATAGTCGAGGTACTCGACTATAGAGTTCTTCCTTGTTTAATTTATTTTCTGAATAGATCGCTTCACCTCCTTTTCCTCAATAATGATACAGAGCAAGAATGCTGTGAAGTATGCTTATATTTACTACGATCGGATAAAGCTAGGGCATAATAGATATTTGATGGCTGGGCGCCATATAACGATACAGATAGAGAACACTGTGAAATGTACTTATATTTACTGCGATCGGATAGACCTAGGGCATACAAGATAGTTGATGGCTAAGCGCCTCTGCCTCGGAAGGTGCAGGTGCTTGCTGAGAAGTTGGAGGCAGCTGGTGCGCCGGAGGACGGCTACTCCACCGATTCTTCTCTGAGCAGAGTAATTCGAGCGCTTGGACCGGCAATCGAGGACGTGGACCTGAGCGATACAAAGGATGTCAATAAGACTTCTGCAAATCAACCTTCACCACAGTAAAGCGGCGTCTGCTGCACTATTGCTTCGCCTGACCGAAGGTGGATCCTAGTACATGAACCTTGAGTAGTAGGAGGCAAGGTTGCTGGACAAAAGGTTACCAAAGAAGGTAAAATTCTAACCTCATTTTAGTCAAAAGGCATCTTAGTATATTTACAATCCATCCTGACTCCCCTAAACAAAGTAGAGCGAATTGCGGCTTTTTGTATTAGTGGAGCCCTTCGAACTTCCCCGAATGAAGCGCTCAATGCGATTTTGAACCTTCCTAGCCTGGACTTAACAGGCATGGAAAGAGCCAAATCATTCGACTGAGAGATACCAGGCAGTGGAAAGCCCAATTTTATGGTCACACTAAAATTCTCCAGCATGATAAATCGATTCCGAAGAACACACCCTTTGAGGGCCTGATTCCAGATAGTGCGGAATGGGAACCGGGCCTACCGGGCTCGACGGACGCAATCTGTTTCTATAAAGATGGCTCCAAGTTAGAAGGACACGTTGGCGGAGGTGTATACTCCAAACAACTAGATATCAAGAAGTCATTCAGACTTTCGGACCACTGTAACGTCTTCCAAGCGGAGGTCCACTCTATAAGGAAGCACTAAACTGTTTAGGGAACACAAGCCTCTGAGGAGGACACAGAGACAGCCAAGCGGCTATTAAATCAACCGTTTCGACAAACATCAACTCCCGAACAATAGCAGACTGTCGCAGATCTCTTCACGAGATGGCTAGTCAGTTTACTATCAGCCTAATATGGCTTGCGGGTCACTGGGATACCGTAGGCAACATAGCGGTCGAGTTAGCCAGGCAGGGCACCATATGCCTCTCCTTGCAGAAAAGGAGAATGTCGGCATGCCCATGGCAACTTGCACGCTAAATATCAAAAACTATTATAACAAATTAGCCAACACTCATTGGAAAAACTATACAGTGTCGTATCTCTCACCAGACATTGCCTGTGATTAACAGTAAAAAAACTTCGAAACGAGATCATGCGGTATCACAAAGGACCCACAGGGGTGTAACTCCCTCAAACCGCTCAAAACTGTGACTCGTACAGTTTTGATGCTAGAATAAAACAAGGAAGATCGCTATAGTCGAGTACCTAGAGTATCAGATACCCGTTACTCAGATAATGGGATCAAAGGGAAATGGAGATATGCAAGCAGCAAAGCGAGATTGAAATGCGCCACCTACCGGCGGTAGACAGATTTTAGCGTTATGGGCGTTAGAATGGGCGTGACAAATTTTTTTTGGATCAATCGAAAGGTATTGACGAGACCAATACATTTCAGCTAAAATTTTTTATCTAGCATGAAAATTGTGGGCGCCACAGGCTTGGGCGGTTTGTGGGCGTTAGAGTGGGCGTGGCAAACTTTTTTTTGGGTCAATCGATAGGTATTGACGAGAGCAATACATTTAAGTTTTTATTCTAGCACCAAAACTGTAGGAGCCACAGGTTTGGGCGGTTTGTACTGAAACAAACTCGTAGAGTAAAAGGGTATACTCGATTCACCGGAAAGTATGTAACAGGGAGAAGGAAGCGTTTCCGACCCCATAAAGTATATATATTCTTCGTCACTATCACTAGCCGAGTCGATCTAGCCATGTCCGTCTGTCCGTATGAACGTATGAGCCCACTCTAACGCCCACAAGCCCCCCAACACTGTGGATCCTACCGTTTTGATGCTAGAATAAAAATTTTAACTGAACTGTATTGTTCTTATCAATACATATCGATTGCCCCAAAAACAAATTTTTCACGCCCACTTTGTCGGCCACAAACTGCCCACAAACTTAAAAATTCGTAAGTATGAACGCGGATATCTCGTCAACTATGAAGAATAGAGAATTGGGATTTCATATTGAGATTCCGTAACCTTGTAAGCAGCGCAAGCTTGTTTCGCGAATATGCCACGCCCACTCGAACGCCCACAAACCGCCTAAGCCTGTGGCGCCTGCAGTTTTCAAGCTAGAAAAAAATGTTAGTTGAAATGTATTGTTCTCATCAATACCTATCGATTGACCCAAAAAAAATTGGCCACGCCCACTCTAGCGCCCATAACGTTTTAATCTGTCTACCGCCGGTAGGTGGCGCATTTCAATCTCGCTTTGTTGCTTGCATATCTCCATTTCACTTTGGTCCCTGTATCTGAGTAACGGGTATCTGATA